TGCCTAGACAGATCTCTTCCTTTACAACAGCTTTCTGAAAAAGCTGAGCACTGACTTTACATGTTTATGCCTATGAGATTTGTGTATGCTGTAAATTAGGCCAGTAGTGACATTTTTAAGGTCAGGAAAGGTGTTTAGGACAACAGCCAACAGTAAATAATTATCAAATGATGGGCAAAAAATAAATATGGAAATTTGTTTCAGCAAAACACTGTGTGGAGATTTGTGGGTACCACTATATTACCACATTAATATTTAGGTCATTACGAAATGTGTAGAAGCTTAAATTGCCCATTTTTGAAATGCAGATATTTGCACATCTCAGTATACATTGCTGTCTAACCTGTTAGCTGTCTGTTGCTATTCTTATTAAAAACACTTCACTTAAACATTTTGACTGTGAGTAGCATATGTCTGGCCTACCTTGGCCAAGGGTCTATATGGCACTAATCATTCTTATCCAGCTGGACTGAGTTGAGATGATGAACTACTACTAATTAACTAATTAACTACTCAACTCAAGGTACCTATCCTGCCTACAAGAGGCAGGCCATTTCCTCCTGGCTGTGGAAGATGCAACAGTGTTCCTGGTGCTGCAGCCCAGGCTGGTGAGCAACAACTGGTGACCCTGACGTGATACATCGATGAGACCCTGGGAAGCCCCGACTCCCTCGCCGAGCTGAGAGCCCTGGCTGCAAAGGAGCCTGAGCCAAAAGAGCCGGAGCCGGGAGCTCGAGCGAGAGTCCTTCGGAGAAGAAGGTAAAGCCGCAAGCCCCGATGTGGTATTTGCGGAAGGGAAGCGTGCTGGAGTTGGATGAATGGGCTGGGTCTCTGCTCACCTTAAAGCCTTTGTGAAAACAGAAAAAATGGTAAAACAAAAAGGGGGAATTATGGCACTAATCATTCTTATCCAGCTGGACTGAGTTGAGGTGATGAACTACTACTAATTAACTAATTAACTACTCAACTCAAGGTACCTATCCTGCCTACAAGAGGCAGGCCATTTCCTCCTGGCTGTGGAAGATGCAACAGCGTCCCTGGTGCTGCAGCCCAGGCTGGTGAGCAACAGGTCTACACCACAACCATGAGGTTGATGCCCTTTAACAAATGTACAGGGAGACTTATCCTTTGCCCTGTTGTCTTCTGGCAGTACAAGTAGTGCAATTCCTCCATGCTCCCTTTCGACTCCCCAGGGAAGCTTGCAGCAGTGAAGGCATTCCCTGGACTCTTTATATCAGAAAGGAAAAAAAAACAACACTATCCTTTAATGGCAGCAACAGTGATCGTTACTTGAAATATTTTGAACAATGACAACTTGACTTTATTTTCTTGGCTCTAAGTTACTCAACCCTATTCTGGGTCATGCTATTATGGTGAATCGTTGCTAGCAGAACTAAGCACAATGGTGATCAGCAATTGTTTAATGAAGGTTGAATCAAATCTGTTATGTTTTGATCAGTGAAAGGAAGAAAAAAGGTGATAGATAGGTGCAGCATGTACAACTTACAGTGTAATTGAGTCTCAGCTTCCAGCACACAGATACCTTCACTGTCCCTTCAGTACTATGTAGGTGGCATATGGATGGTGAATATATTCAATGGCACAGATGGATCTTTAGCATCTAATTTCCACTCATTTCAGAATTTGTTACTTGTGCCTTTGAAAACATCCCCTCTCCATCTTTAGAGAGGAGTGAGAAATGTTACTGTTTAGTAGCTGTAATTCACAGTGAATGCAAGCTGTGTCAGGCACTTCACATGGATGTGCTAGTGGCTGAGGATATTCGGTACATTTACATACATCTGTGTCCAGCAGTTTGATGGGTTTAGGTGCATGTTCACCTCACATAGTTTTGGTTTACAGTGTTGTGAAGATGGACACTAAACACACAGAAAATTTAAAACTTCCTTTTCTTTTGGATGGCAGCAGCTTTCCAGTCAGGAGAACACATGCACAGTCAACCATCATCTTACTGAGGAGGTAGGTCCTGTGAGGAGCAGGGAGTTGGACTCAATGATCTTCATGAGTCCTTTCCAACTTGAGATATTCTGTGATTTGGTAAGAACCAAAGTGAGTGACTTAAATTTGACTTAGTTGTCCAGGATTTTCTGAAAACCTTATCAAGAAAGTAATGAATTGTTGTGATATGTGATGGGGATGGTCACTCTCAGGATGTTTTACTGGTATGCTGTCTTCATTCATATGAAACCAGAGAGAGTGATGCTTAGGTGAATGGCTTGGGAACCAGCAGCCATGTCTGTGTGTGTTGTCAGCCCTTCCATGTCTGAGTGGCCCCAATTCTGTACTACCATCTTTTTGCGATATTGGGTGTTTCTTTACTGATGAGTGAAGCAGCTGGACATGGCTGCAGAGCAGTAGGAGGGCCTTTGTTGACTGTGGTATAGCCACTGCACCGCTATCACAGCACAGGCTGTGACAAATCATGCAGATATTCCAACTCACTCCCAATTACCTTGTGTTTCTCTGCCCTGTGTTCCAAAGTGTGGTGTTGCTCTAGGTTTCTGGATGTGTGATTCCTGATAGAGCAAGGTGTATCAGCTAAAGAAATCCTTATTTAAGCAGAGATGTTATTAATCTTTGCTGGTGTTGATCATTACATTGGAGATGGAGGGAGAGGATGTTTTTTGTTAAGCTTTACTGATTGCGAAAAAGTGCCACTCTGCAGGTACTAGCTAGATTCAGGCTTATGGTGTTTTTAAGGTGTAAGGTTCCCCTAATTCTGACTTTGTCTTACATTGATTCAAAGGTAGAATAACATCCCTGAGCCCACATCTCCTAAAATGTGAGGGGAAATAGGCTCGTTATTATGTGGCTATGAGCATTTCAATGAAGGTTACAATCCTGATCTTCGTTATGAGTATAGGCTTTTAAGGAAGAAAAAATAATGGCTGCAAAAACTTCTCAGAGTACATTTAGACTCAAACTGTAGCAGAATCCTAGATATCTAAACAGATCTTAGGGAAGCCTATGGAAGAGATCATGATCTACAAGACACAGACAGGGCTGCTGTGTTGTTCTCTCTGGTTTCCTGGCAGCACAGTGCCCTCCTATCATGTAATCCCTTCTATGTGGTTCAGCATCTCTCTGCTGCTTCCTGATGCTGTTCCTTTATCCATCTTGCCAGGTGCAAAGGTCAATGTGTTTGTATTGTATGATGAACCGAAATAAGAATCTGATGTGCCATAGATTATCAGAAAGCTTTTCTGTTTTTAAGTTTCTGAAGGAACTCAAGCATCCATTTCTTAAGTTCTGTCCAAAGTCTCATTTCCCCTTTCTGAAAGTAGGCAGGCAGATGCCAAGTCACCTGCAAGGCTGTGGTGTTTGTATTCATTAAGCTGACTCTCACTGGAAACATTAATAAATCATTCCTGTTGAGTGCTATCTGTAGGTTTCTAAGTTGCAGAGCAACCACTTTATCTTAGACAGAAAGAGAAGCATTGCACACAAAGTTCTGATCATCCATTCAGCCCAAACAGGACTTTGTTAAGCTTAAAATGTTTCCAAGTCTCCCTCTCACAAAGAAACATTTATAGCTGATACTGATCCAGTGATATTGAAGATCTCAAGGACACAGAAAAAAATGTCTCTGCCCAGAGAATATGAAATGAGGGCTAGGGTGAACAAAGTTTTAAAAAAGAGTGTATCATGAACAGTCCTTAAAGAGTCTCAGCAATACAGTCAATGATTTAATAGAGGCTATTACTCTTTCTAACTTCCACAATTGTAGATTTATTCTGAATTCTGACTTCTGACTTCCAACATTCTGGCCCTTTTGTTCCGACCAAAGAGAAAAAAAAAAAAAAACAACACCTAAAGTTGTGAGATCAGAACATTAGTTCACTAGTGTCTCTTTTATGTTTAAAAAGTTACATTTTTCCCTTCAAACTTGTTTTGTTGTGGGGAGGTCAGACCAGAGTGTATGAATACAGTGTCTTAGATTGTGAGCTTGTGAAGGGCTCCAGTAACTTATTTGATCAGTGCATGAAGCCAACACATCTAAGGGTGTGTTGCCCACAGCTTCCAGGAGGTCTGTGGGTAGAGAATTCTTGGAGGGATAGGATTAGGTTCTGCCTCTGTATGAGTTCACATAAGGTGCTTTCAGACTGGCATTTTAATTTGGATCAGGAGTGCACTTTTCACATGAATCTCCCAATGGTCTCTAATTTGCAGTGCCTTGATCTTGGAGTACAAGAACTGGGTTCCTTCTGGATGAAATTAACTGGAAGATGTGCTCCAGGAACACAACAGGAGGGCACGATAGCCACAAAAGGACCCTCAGTCCCTGCAATCAGACTAGAGGTAATACAAAGTAAAGAACACCTGAAATGCACTTTTTCTGGACCTCAGATCCTCAGCACCAACTGTTTCATTCTACACATCTCCTGTAGTTCACACTACTTGCCAACATAGACATAGTCACTGAGCAACATAGTGATTTGGAATTCAGTGAATTTTTTGGAAAGTGAGAATGGCAGAACTTTTTTTTTTATTAATTCTTGCCTAATAAATATATAACTAACTACATACTTCATCTTAGTATATCAACTGTAGTGATTTAACCCCAGCTGGCAACTAAGCACCACACAGCTGCTGGCTCACTGGCCCTCCGGTAGGATAGGGGAGAGAATCAAAACAGTAAAAGTGAGAAAACTCGTGGGTGGAGATAAAGGTAGTTTAACAGGTAAAGCGAAAGCCACGCAGGCAAGCAAAGCAAAGTTAATTCATTCACCGCTTCCCATCGGCAGGCAGGTCTTCAGCCATCTCCAGGAAAGCAGGGCTCCATCACTTGTAACCGTTACTTGGGAAGACAAATGCTATCACTCTGAACATCACCTCCTTCCTGCTTCTTCCTCCAGCTTTTATTGCTGAGCATGACATCATATGGTATGGAATACCCCTCTGGTCAGTTAGGGTCAACTCTCAGCTGTGTTCCCTGCCAAATTCTTGTGCACTCCCAGGCTACTCGCTGGTGGGGTGTGGTGAGAAGCAGAAAGGGCCTTGGTGCTGTGTAAACACTGCTCAGCAATAAGGAAAATGATCCTGTATTATTAAGTTTTCAGCACAAAGCCAAAACATAGCACCATACTAGCTAATATGAAGAAAATTAGCTCTATCCAGCCGAAACCAGGACAGTATCCACCTCTTATTCCATACCATTTACATGCTCAGGTCTCACACTATCCAATACATCCTTATTAACCACCACCCCCTTTCCCATCCTTTGATATAATACACAGATGGACCACCCTTGTAAAAAGTCTGTAAACAGTGTCCACAAATGGCCACAGAATGTCCACTGAGTTCATTTAGTCCCTGACTTTGGGCTCCATCTGTTATGGTGGTCACTCAGGACAGGAGAAATGGTGTGTTGCATGGAGTTACTGGCCAGACTGGAGCAGGTATATCTCTGAAGGCACTATAGCCCATCAAGAAGGTCACACTAGAATAGGTGCACCTCAGAGTAACTGTGATTGTGGATAAGTCTATGCCACAGCCAGTATACCCCTGGAGAGACTGTGGCTCCTGTATAAGGCTTCATTTGGAGCAAGCATACCCTTAAAGGACTGCAGTCTGTGGATAAGTCCAAGCTGGAGCAGGGGCAAGGGGAGGACTTCATTGTAATGTTAAACCCAATGGTCTGGTCCAAAGGTGGAAACTGTGATGGAAATACCTTTAAATTGTTGTAATCCATCATTTGTGTTGCGTGTTATAGGAATTGCTACAGCAGGAAGCACCTGAACCAAAGGAGGACAAGCCTTACAAGAAGCAGTGCAAGTGCAGCAGTGACCTGACCTGAGCTTGCTTTGAGGCGCTCCAGCATGACCTCATGTACAGCCACTGATGCTTTGACGTGTACCTTCTCCAGCATGGACTTACCCTTGGGCCACAATCCTTTCAGAGGTATACCTGTGGCCAGCAGGTAACCATGGCCACAAACACTTTGAGATACACCTGCTCTGGCATGGGCTTATCCACAGCCACAGACACTTTGGACTGTCCTGCTCCTGCACGGACTCATCCACCGGTCACAGTCCCTTAGATTCGAGTTCATACTGGAGTTCCAACCTGTCCAGTATAGCAGCACAGAAACAGAAACAGCAGCAATGCCCTGGCCACCTGCCAGGTCAGGCATATCACTGTTTGTTATCAGAATATTCCCAGGCACAGCAGAGTAAGATGATAAGCAGTACAGCAAGCAGTGAAAGCAAAATGCAGCCACTAATGAGCACTAGACTGTAATATACAGTGAGGCAAGCAAAGCCCTGGGGCAACCACAGAAGCCTGCCCATTAATAGCTAAACAGCAATAAAGGCTACAAATTCGATCTAGCACATTCCAATCAAATCTGTCGTTATCTCAAACACTTTGAGCTCCACGTTGGGTGCCAAATAGGACTGTCAGTAAGATGGAAACTAATAATTGATTTTGCGAACAAAAGAGAGAAAATCTCATGTGAAAGAACACTGGAGGACTTGAGGGATTCCAGGAACTCTGGAATCTGTAATGTATGTAAAAAATAGAAATTTAGATAAAAAAAAAAATTGTCATGAGTACTGAGCAACATGGAGGTTCAGCTTTTCAGAACTTTAAAAATTGCAGGAATCCTGCCATATCCTGCCCCCTAACAAACAGTATAATTGGGCCTGTAAAATATAGTGAAAATGCATTGATTCCTGAAACTTCCTCATTACACATTGATGACTGCAAAAGCAAAATGCAGGCTTCCTGTAATTTTAAATTTCAATTTTAAAGTTTATCTCAGTAATTCTAGGTCAACCTGTAATTTAGGGAAGGTTCAAAACAGGAGTAGGTCAAAGAATAACATGATAAATGTCGGTGATTAGTTTGTGAAATACAGTCTTTTTTTCAAATTAGAAATACAACTTACATGTTGTTTTTATTCTTTATGAAAGTTATTTCAGGAGACTTTGAGCTCCAAAGCCACTGTATAATGTGGTTTTTTTCAGGTGTAATCAACGTATTTCCCGGGGACAGACTATTGCACAAAGCAGAAAATGTTTTGTTTCATTAAAACAAAAAGAAAAAAATATGTCTTGCCAGAAAAACATAACCATTAGAAAATGCTTCCGGTAACAGCAAATGGATGTCAAATACTTTTAATGGAACCATTTACCTTGAAAAATTCTGTTCTTACTTGTCTTGTGAGACAGTTGGATGAGAGGGAATTTGAAGTGGAGTTAGTACCTAATTGGTCTCAAAGGTTCTTGATAGGATTTCAGTTCCCTCAGTTTCTCTATATTAGTGGATCAGGTCATGCAGCAGCATCATGTTTCATATTTGAGCTTTTTGGGGAAGATACAGGGATAAAATACCAAATATCAAAGGTTTTGTTAGTGTATCTGAATGCTAAGGAGGAAAAACAGATGAGTTTTGCCTAGTTCTGGCAAGCGTTAACAGGAAAGAATGGTTGCTTTTACTACTGCTACTGGTTGTTTGTACCAGGTTACAAAATCAAACAAAAAAAAGAGGCAGATTAAAGAGGTGTGATACTGTTGTTTTGTATTGCTTGATGAACAGAAGCTAGAACTTTCAAGTAGTGAAACAAGAAAATTTGGACTTACGCTCAGAACGTCTCACTTGTGAAAGTCTCACTTCATGAATTTGGATTCACTATAAAGTTCCAGTCTCACTCTGAAAAGGATGATACTTTTCATAGAAAATAATTTTTTCCTTAATTACCTTGATTTTTGTCTTTCTTCCTCTGTGCTAGGGGGAAATGCTTTAGTCTTCCTTTCACCTGAGTGAAGTTGTTTCAACACTGGTTGATTAGCTCTTTGTGAGGAGAGGTGCCATGCATTAGGTCAGTGTAAACCTCTCTGCTTTCTAGAACGCCATGCGAGCATTTATACCTGAACGAGTTGCCTCTGTTTTGAGCTGCTCTGTTGTGCAAGACAAAAGCATCAAAACTTGTACTTTCTACCCAGTGAAGCTCTGATTCACAGCATCGAGAGTCTTTTCTCAAAAAACACCATCAACTTCTCAGATGCAGTATATAAAGAAGCACTACTGCTCTTCATATACTTCATATGCTCATATTCTCTCGCCCCACCACCAGGAGCCAGCAGAGCATTCCCTTGTGTCTGTGCCCTGCTGCTTCTGGGAGAATCCAGAGGAAATTCCTGAGGAAGCCCTCAGGACCTTGCTTGCTCTATAACAAGCCCAGTGTGGGTGTGTAATAACGTTTAGTAGAAGTTCACAGGTACAAAGGGAAGCACTGAATTCACTCTGCTCTCTACAAGCTGTGACGAGGCTCCTTTTGACTAAAAAGCAATGGCTCACCACATGGAGAAGGCTGAGAGGCCTTTGTTTTACCTCCTTACATTTTGAGTTGTAACTTTAAGCCACTTCTGCATTGCTCTGCACTTAATGGTCTGCTAGCTTTTGGATATGGATCTTACAATGACAAGAGAAGCCTAAGGAGACTCTCAAGGAGAAAGGAGCGATATACATTCGTCTCACTGGTACGTGTTTGCTATACTCACTTTGGCAAAGCTTTGACAAAAAGGATTATTTTGATCAAGCCCTTTTCTCCTCAGGCATATGTCAGTGAAATGCAAAAGATTTTGCTTTGCCTTATTAAAATAGGAAACTGATTCGAAAATATTTGAAATATGTTATTCTTCTAGGATGTCTGGGGGTTTGGGCCATATGTATTTTAAAAAAAGAAGCTGATGTAGCATGTTCAAGTGAAAAAAATCAAATTAATTTTGTCATGCTGGTGGTTTCTAGAATGTTGGGTGGTCTGCTATGGTATCTGCATGAGCACTATGGGAATCTTACACTGATGACTCAGATTCAAGTACCAGTGGCTTGCAAAGAGACAAATGTCTGTTGTTGATTCTCAGTCTGCAAATGGGCAAGAAACAGAAGCCAGACTTTCCCTCCAGAAGGACTGCTGTGGTTCTGTAATGCAATGCAGTTCTGAGTCCACACTGTTCAGACCCTAGCAGAATTTCCTCCCTGTCCAGCTTGATTAACCTTTCTGGGAAAGGTATTTCTGACTGCCAGAATTACAGCTGGGGCCTATGACTAGTAGCCTTTTTTGCCCCTGCTTGTTGCACATATAGGGAGGCACCCTAAGTTCACAGCTTCTCTTTGCAGCTCCACAACAGCAACTGCCTGCTGAGGCGGGCATCTACGCCACCATTTCAACTGTTGTCCATAGCACCAGATCATGATCTGACTGCATTCAGCTCCAGATCCACAATGTACATACAGACTTACACCCATCTGCAGTCTTACCCATCGTACCAACACCAGCCCCTCTGATAGGTAGCAGTTGATACCCCTTCATCAAAAGGGTTCTGAACATATACGTCTCATGTCTCTGCAGCTGCACTAGTCCAAAGCCACCACACAAATCCTAAAACCTGCCTTCAACTCCAGAAACATAGTTCACTACATAGCATCTCCAGGCAGCTGGCTTGGAAACCTCAAGTTGCCACCTACCTTTAGCAGCAGGATCCAGACCAAGGGTTGAGGCATCCCTACAAGCAATGCTCCCTGGACACAGTGCAATGCATGCAGGACACCCACTGTCTGTCTAGTTCTGTTCCCTGGCAAACTGGCCCAGTTCCTTGGCAGAAGCAGCCAAGGGGTTTATAGCTCAGTGTGACCACTCTGCCTAGAGGGCTGGCAATAGATAGGGGAGGATAACAGTAGGAGAAAGATGATGAAGTCAGGTGGAGCCAGGTGCTGACAGGACCAAAGTCCCAAGTCCTTATCGATCCAGGGAAAATAGTCCCCAAAGGAAATAACTAGTTTCCAGGATAATGTCTCTCCAAAGCAGGAAACGCAGTCATTCCCATTTCAGCCTCAGAGCTTTCAGAAATTCACAGCTAAGAGAATGAATTGTCTCACTATGAGCCTTCTGATGAGGAAAAGCTTCTAGTGGGGGAAGGCAGGAAGGTACAGGAAAACGATGCATTTGTGGCCTGAGGAATGATACCTAAGTATAATCTCATTTCTAAATGTAACAACCTTTCAAATATTGTGTTTATAAAGCTGCAAAGAGGGATTATTCTAAAGCAGGAGACAATGTCTGGGGAGTAGCCCCTCTCCTCCCAAGCTTTATTGTCTGGCTGTCTGCAGAAGACAGGAAACCATGTAGAGCAGATCTACGAACTAAGCCTGCCTTCTCGTGCAGCGCAGTGCACTGTGAGTATGCTTTGACCTGTGTTCTGGTAGTACTTGACATCACAGTGAGAGGGTGTTGGGGATCTTTTGGGGTGATAAACATAGTGAGGCAGTTGGTGATGTCATTAGATGGTTACCTAGTGCGTGAGAGGGATGTTAGGTGATGGGCTGTTCTACCTCTTCTGAATGAAGCAGTAAAGGCAGCTGCAAGCCAAGCCAAAAGCCAGTTCATTACAGAAAATTCGGTTGGGAAGAGTTGAGTGAAGTCGTGTGGGTGTCAGTTCAATTCTTGACAAACTGGCTGAGCCTAGAACATTTCAAATAAGAAAAGCAGCACACCAGCAGGACTTCTGTGAACTGCTGCTTCTTATTCCCGTTCTCGGAGATATCAATATTCTTTGCTTAGGTCTTGTGTGGCATTTTCACACCATCCTTCGGAACAGTTGGACCTGGCCACTGGTGGAGCTTGGATTCTGATTAATTTGCTTGCTGGATGTTTCTGCTTTCCTGTGTTTGACAGTCATGGTGATAGATTTTGATCTGGTTTACTTTCTTCTGCTGACCTTCTCTTTTCTCTCAATGTGGTTTTTGTTTGAGTTGAATTGGTATCAAAATAAATGGATGCGTTTGAAAAGAGTGTTTTTGTTCTGTTGTTTCTTTCACCAGACAGGGCAAAATTAGCTGGAGGTCCTAGTTTTCTTGGAAAAGCAGTGTGCAAAAAGCTGGAAGCAAGTCTTTTGGCAAGTGATAACACATAAATAGCTTTTCTGAATACCTATTAAATGCACTGTTGTGTTATTATTATCCAGTGGAGCCAGTAATTGGTTTATTATGATTTTGGATCACTGGTTTGTTTTTAACATGAATGGCTTGGCCATCACATTAAAGTGAACTACACTTTAATGTTTGTGCCATGTACAAGTGCGATAGCTGTATCAGTAATTCCCAGAGTTCAGAAGTTCAATATATTCTGCAAAAAAAAATATTTTCAGTGTTTCTTTTTCATGTTTCGTCTTACCCTAGAGCTAAATGTATGGAAAGGCTCAGCAGAATCTTTTCCTTCATTTCATTAATTACTCAGCTGTTGAAAAACTCTGTTATTTCTTTCCAAAAAAATACTATGAAAGATTTAGAGTTGTGGTTTTAAGATACTATGGGAATGATCTGCCTTAGTTGTTATTATAAGAGGGTGTGCTGACTGGAGGAAACAGACTTAGGACATAACTTCTACCCTCTGAATCTTCACACAGAAGAGGTTACCCCACATGTAAATCTATCAGCACCTAAGTTGGATGTATCTCTGCCACTTGTTTGTCCAGGCTAGTGAGTTTCTTTGGGAAACAACCAATTGGGAGGACTAAGGACCTTGATACCTCTCTGTGTAGCTCCCTTACCAGGCTACAGTGGCTATTCTGTGCTGATGTGACAAAGGGGTCAGGGAAAGATTGATATCACAAAACCTCAGAATCACAGAATGGTTGAGATTGGTAGGGATCACTGGAGGTCATCTGGTCCAGTCTCTGCTCAGGCAGGGCCACTTAAAGCAGGCTGCCTAGGGTAATGTCTCCAAGGAGGAAGACTTCACAGCCTCTCTGGGCAACCTGTGCCAGTGCTCAGTCACCCTGACAGTCACAAGTGTTTCCCTATGTTCAGGTAGACCCTCCTGTGTTTCAGTTGGTGCCCATTTTCTCTGGTCCTGTCACTGGGCACTACTGAGAAGAGCCTAGCTCCATTTTCTTTGCACCTTCCTGTTAGATATTTGTACACATTGATGGGATCCCCTCTGAGCCTTTTCTTCTCTAGGCTGAACAGTCCCAGCTCTCTCAGCCTTTCATCATATGAGAGATGTTCCAGACCCTTCATCATCTTTGTGGCTGTTTGCTGGACTGTCTCCAGTATGTCCATCTCTCCCTCGTACTCGGAAGCCTAGAACTGGACACAGTACTCTGGGTATGACTTCACCAGTGCTGAGTAGAGGGGAAGGATCACTCCCCTCAACCTGCTGGCACACTCCTCCTCATGCAGTCCAGGCTACCATTGGCCTTCTTTGCAGTAAGAGACTTTGCACTTACCTTTGTTGAACTGCTTGAGGTTCCTGTCAATCTATCACTCTAGCCTGTTGAGGTCTCTTT